AACTATATCTCGGTATCTATACATATATATATATATACTCCTAAACTACCTAACTTGTAGAATAAGACTGCAATTAGGAAACATGACCAACTTGCCATATTTATTGATTACTTGGTCTCCAAGGTCCTACGTGACTTTAGGATTCCAACAATCACCCCCGAATCTCTAAGTCCTTCTAGAGAATTCTTCAACCCCGATCAAGCTCCGCATTTCCTTGAACTTGGTTCGAGCTAATGGTTTCGTAAGAATATCCGCCCTTTGTTCTTCACCGGGAATGTATTCCACCTCCACTTGTTCCCTTTCGACACAATTACGAATGAAGTGAAACCTTGTGTGAATGTGTTTACTCCTTCCATGAAAAACGGGATTCTTAGTTAGTTCGATAGCCGACTTGTTATCAACTCTAAGAATAACTTTCTCTTGTGCTTTGTTCATTATTTCCCCAAGAAAATCTTGAAGCCATATTGCTTGACATGCACTCGCTGTGGCTGCCATGAACTCAGCCTCACAAGATGATAAAGCAACGGTGTCTTGCTTTTGTGAACACCATGTAATTGGTGATGACCCATAGTAGAAAATGTGACCGGTTGTGCTTCTTCCATCATCCGGGTCAACATTGTGACTACTATCACTATAACCAATAAGCCGCTTTTGTCCCATTCTCTCGTACTTGATTCCGTATCCCGTTGTTCCTCGTAAGTACCTTAGAATGTGTTTGATTGCACCACCATGTGATTCTCTTGGACTTTGCATATATCGGCTAACAACTCCGACCGCATATGACATATCGGGTCTTGTTTGCAAGAGGTATCTAAGACATCCTACCACCTTTCGATATTGTGTTGGGTCGATTTCGGGTTCATCTTCGGCCTTCGACAATTTATTTCCTGGTTCTATCGGTATGTGGGTCGGATTGCAATCATGTAAACCGGCTTCTTTTAAAATGCGTTGAGCATATGATTCTTGGTTTATAAAAATCCCCGATTCTTCTTGCTTAACTTCAATGCCAAGGTAATAAGTTAATCTTCCAAGATCCGCCATCTCAAAGTTCTTGGACATCTCTAATTTGAATCTCTTGATCATGCTCAAATTTGTACCTGTGACAAATAAATCATCAACATAAATTGCTAAAATTAGCAAGTTAGATCCTTCACATTTCCGGTACACCGATGGTTCTTTCATGCATTTTTGAAATTTCATATTCTTCAAAATCCCATCAAGCTTCGTGTTCCATGCTCGAGGTGCTTGTCTAAGACCATATAGTGCTTTTGTAAGGCGATATACTTTATGCTCGTTGCCTTTCTTTATATAGCCTTCCGGTTGTGACACGTAAACAGTTTCTTTTAATTCTCCATGTAAAAACGCTGTTTTAACATCCAAATGGTGAAGCTCCCACCCATTAGTAGCTGCTAAGGCTATAAGAAACCGAATGGTTTCAATTCGAGCTACCGGGGCAAACACTTCCTGAAAATCAATACCGGGTTGTTGCACGTAACCTTTAGCAACCAATCTTGCCTTGTATTTATTAATGGTGCCATCTGCATTTTTCTTTAATTTGAACACCCACTTGAGTCCAATTGGCCTCACCCCCATAGGTTTGTTCACAAGAGTCCAAGTTTTATTTTTGTTTATCGACTTGATTTCCTCATCCATGGCCTTGACCCACTCTGGTTCTTTCTTCGCTTCTTCAACCGATACCGGCTCGTCTTTGGTTGTTAGAAGGAGTTCTTCGAGATTGTCAAGATCAAGCTCATAATCTTGAAATCGTCTTGGAGGTATTCTTGCTCTCGAAGGTCTTTGGTTTGCAGCTCCTTGTTGAACATTATTATTTACCGGACTTGGTTGTTGATTATCTTCCCCTTCATCTCCAATATCATGATCCGATTGAATTGGATCATAATTTACATCGTTTCCTTGGTTGGTGCTTGCATCGTCTCTTGGATAGTCCCATGGTATTACGAATGAGCCCGGTTCTTCATTGTTGGTTCCTGCTTCTTTAATCCAATCCCACCCTTTGGTTTCATCAAAAATAACATCTCGACTCACGATTATTTTTTGTGTTACCGGGTTAAATAACCGGTAAGCTTTCGTACCTGGTTCGGAGCCAACATATACTAGTGGTCTTGATCTTGCATCCAACTTCTTTTGATTAACCGGTTCAACTTTTGCATGTGCTAGACACCCAAATATACGAACATTTTCTAAATTCGGTTTTCTTTTATACAACTTTTCATATGGAGTTGTATCACCAAGGACTCTTGTGTAAACTCGATTGATTAGATTTGTTGAGTGATTTACCGCTTCTCCCCATAAGTAGTTTGGAACATGCATTGCCTTCATTATACTTCGTGTCATGTCCATAAGTGTTCGGTTTCTTCGTTCCACAATTCCGTTTTGTTGTGGAGAGTATGGGGCGGTGAGATGGCGTTTGACTCCGTTTTGTTCACAGAAAGAATTAAACTCAAGAGAGGTAAACTCACCTCCTCGATCACTTCTAAACACTTTCAAAGGTTTTCCAATTTCATTTTCCACCAAAGATTTGAATTTTTTGAAGTGTGTAAACGCCTCACTCTTTTCTTTTATGAGATAAATCCACATAAATCGTGAAAAATCATCAATTAGTGTAAAAATGTACCTGTTTTGACCCTTGGTTGCCGGCGTGATTGGACCGCATAAATCACCGTGAACAAGCTCCAATGGTTGTTTTGCTTTGTATGTCGTCATGGTTGGGAAGGACTTTCTCGTTTGCTTGCCGACTAAGCACGACTCACATAATTGATTCTCATGTTCTAATTTCGGTAACCCTTTGACTAAACCCTTTTTGGACATCTTTTTCATTGACTCGAAATTAATGTGCCCAAGTCTTGCATGCCATCGCCACGCATCTTCACTTAGTCTTGAATGAAGGCAAATAGGATCTCCAATCTGTAATTTTATTTTATAAAGGCGGTTTGAAGTTCTTTGTACTTTCATTAATAAGCAATTATCGGCATCGTGCATGGTTAAATAGTTGTCTTTCATTCAAATATCACACCCGGCTTCAGTTGCTTGTCCGAGACTTATAATGTTGTTCTTGAGATCCGGTATGTAGTAAATCTCCGTCATCAGCCTTTGTTGACCCCTCTTGCCTTGGAAAAGTATAGCACCTTTTCCCTTGATTTTTACACACGAATTATCTCCAAATTTAACCCTCCCGGTTATGCTTTCGTCAAGCTCGGAGAAGAATGACCGGTTCCCCGTCATGTGATTGCTCGCCCCATTATCCAAATACCACACATCGTTTTCGTGTGAGTCGTATCGAGACGGTATCACCTTCTCTTCATTCAAAAATACGGTCTCGTGTAAAAATACGGCATCATCGGTATCGTCATATTCAACAAAATTACTTTCTTGTAATTTTTTGATTCGGTCCGGACATTGAGACGCGAAGTGGCCCGGTTTATCGCACCGGTAACAAATAATTTTGGATCGGTCTTTTTTTGGTTTATTATTTGGGTCAGAATTGGAATTGGGCTTACTATTGGATCGATTATAATTTGACTTTCTTTGGGCTTGTTTTGTTTTAGACCCAGATCCACTTGTCATATTAGACCCACAGGATCCGGATCCAGACCCATTCGAACCGTGTAAATTGTTCCCAGTCGTACCAGATCCTTGATTAATTGATTTCCCCTTTCTTCTCCAGCTTTGATTTCCGCCGTCGACAAACAGTGCCTTTGATCCTTCACTGCTATCATCTGCCTCCTTCACCCTCTCCTCGTATGCTTTCAATCGACCGACAATGTCCTCAAATCCGACTGTCTTCAAATCGAGAACTTGCTCAAGTGATGCGACTATATGAAGGAACTTCCTCGGTGCAGATTTTAGTAGTTTCTTCACCATCTTTGATTCTTCGATGATTTCACCTAGTGATGCCGATTGAGAGGCGATTTCAGATAGTTTCCCGGCGAAGGAGTCGATTGATTCTTTTTCTGCCATTATTAATCTGTCAAAGTCGGAATTTAGGGTTTGAAGTCTAGCTTCTTTCACCCGGTCGGCTCCAACGTGCCTTGTTTTGATCGAGTTCCAAAGGGCTTTTGCTGAATCGACATCTCCCAACTGCATAATCAAGGATTCCGGTATCGCTTGGTACAACAATCCAATTGCCAGGTAATTTTTTTCTTCATTCTCTTCTGTTCCAGGGTCAATCACACTCCAAGCCTTATGAATTCTTAAGACTACCTTCATTCTCAGTGACCAGACCGTGTAATTCGTGGAATTCAACATGGGACATTGAACTGAAGTTGACCCAGTTTCCTTCACAATCACAGGAGCCGATCCTCCCTCACCCCCTGCATCAGTCATGTTGGCCTTACTTGTCAACAAATAAAGAATTTGATTTCACAGCTTCTTGACTCAAGCTCTGATACCAATTCAAGTTTAGAAAACACAAATAATCAAAATATCTCTTTGATTAATAGGAAAATAACTCAAAACCTATGTTGTGTTTTTATGTACAAACCATATCTCGGTATCTATACATATATATATACTTCTAAACTACCTAACTTGTAGAATAAGACTGCAATTAGGAAACATGACCAACTTGCCATATTTATTGATTACTTGGTCTCCAAGGTCCTACGTGATTTTAGGATTCCAACAGTTCGAACATCTTTAACATTATCTTTAATGGAATTTTGGTTTTTCGAAAAATAAAAAAGAAAACGATACCAATTTATATTGGTTTGACATTTTTTGAACCTTGACGTAAATGATTTTTTTTTTTTTTTTCCTAAAACCTCTAACTTAGTAACTCACATATACTGATATACAATGCCGGATTTCTAAACCAACATTTTCCTTCCCAAGCGCAACTTGAACCATTAATCTTTCGTATTTTTGTCGAATTCTTGATGCTGCAGGCCACATGCCCTTTGGTTTAATGTAAACAATGTTACCTTTTAAAAAATTTTCTATAGATCAAACACTTTGTTTATAATAATGAAACATCAATGAAATGATCAAATATATCATAGGAACATTTTATTATTTGAACATATAATCCTGCAAACATTACTGATACGTACAATAGCTTCGTTTGATATCTAAAATCAACTAAAAAAGAGTTTAAATATTAAACCTAAGAACTTTTAATTACAACATTTATCCTTCCAATAGCAAGATGATAGATAACACATTTAAAGTTTGATTGGAATGGCCATGAGTGGTACCTTTTTGGACAACGAGATTCCAAACCTCTCTCCCATATCCATATCTCGTGTTCTTATATTTCCTTCTAGCTTCCAGTCAAACTTCTGAATCAAAGAGCCCAAGACTATGTGCAACATTCTATGAGCAGAATTCAATGCCGGACAAATCCTCCTCCCAGCACCAAATGGAATTAGCATGAAATCCTGTCCTTTATAGTCGATCTTGACTTCCAAAAACCTCTCAGGTATGAACGTCTCTGGGTCTGACCAAATACTCGGGTCTCGGCCCATCGCCCAAACATTACAAAGGATTTGTGCATTTTTAGGTACAATGAAACCTTGGATTTCTAGGTCAAGCATGGCTCGGTGAGGGAGAAGAAGTGGGGCCGGAGGATGTAGCCGGAGAGTTTCTTTTATAATAGCTTGTAGATAAGGGAGTTTAGATATATCATGTTCGTGTATATTCTTGTTGTTGTTTTGCATGAATTTAGTGAGCTCTGATCGAGCCTTTTCCATTTTATGTGGGTTACGAATCAGCTCAGCCATCGCCCATTCCAACGTGGTTGAGGTTGTATCGGTTCCGGCAACAAATAAATCCTACACTTATTTATGAAATGATTAGTGCTACTGGGTCAATATTTCAATCACTAGTTGGTCAATATCAAGCGCAAATTCTTTTTCTTTGATTTTTTTGAACTATCTGCCATTTTTTGAATGGCTTATGATGTTCCCCATAACAATTAAAAATCATTTTTAACTTATTTATAGGTTCCCAATCTTAATTTGTATAACTTTAAGAGATAATAAAATCAAAGAAAGAATATATATATATATATATATATATATATATATATATATATATATATATATATATATATATATATATATATATATATATATTTATTTTTATTTATTTTGGATAAGTTGCTTTTAACCGCACAAGCTAGTCAACTGATTTGAAAAAGCTCTCAAAGTCTATCTTCATTAAACTGACAAACAAATATAGGATGAGATTCAACCACAATGAAAAAAGTTTCTGGGTTTATTTTCGATTATAATGATAAAGAGTGCATTAATAATTTAATATCTTTTGAACTATCGAGAAATAGGAAAAGAGTCCATGTCTTAGTACTCTGTTCTGTTTTTTTTATGCGACAAAAATTTAAATTTTTTATCATTGACTTCACTGAAAGTCAAGTCTCATGTAAACCAAAAGCAATAAAAGATCATCCCAGTTGTCATGCCATGCATAATTAAGAAGCTAAGACTAAACTTATTTACTTACCAAGAACAAGTGTCTCATATCATTAGGACTAATTTCAGATTCATCTTTCATGCTAAGATCCAGCAGCAAGTCCAACAAATCGCGGCTTTTCGATGAATGATCACCATCATACGATGAACTGGATCTTTCTTGGGTTCGTTCATCGATGATCATATCAAAAATAGACAATAACTTCTTGCCATAAACATTTGATCGTCGTAGAAACCCTTGTAGATCGAATGGTTTAAGTATGGGAAAAAAATCCGATATATTTGGGTTCCCAGAAAGTTCCATCAAGCCACATACAGCATCCTTGAATCCTTGGGAGGACACTGAATCGTGTTGAGATAAATCTCTTGAGAAAATGGCGTTTGATAGAATGTTAAGAGTTGTAGTAAACGCAGCTGCACCTATGTTTAGGGCCTTTTTATTTGAACAATACTGACTAACATGTTCAAGAAGTTCTTGTACCTTCAAGTATAATCATACATCAAACAATCACATAGTTGTCCAATATTTGTATATATTAAAACCCTACTTGTACGAGCCGTACCTTCTCCTGGCGTACGATCTCGCTAGCATCTAGGCGTTGCATGGTGAACATAGATTCTCTGGTAATTCTTTTTAGCCTTCGCCACTGATCTCCGGCCGGCAGCCACACCATCGAATATTTATGGTGGTCAACCAGTCTGGCTGCATCCGGGATGACTCTGCTAGAGGAGGATTGGTCATATGTTTGAAAGACTTCTTTGGCGATATGAGGCGATGAAACTACCATGGTTGTTACGCTTCCAAGTTTAAGAGACATTAAAGGGCCATAACATTTAGAGAGCGTTGCGAGGGAGTAGTGGGGTTTGTCGCCAAGTTCTAAAAGGTTTCCGATTATCGGATAAGGGTAGGGTCCCGGTGGAAGCCGCGACGTGCGGCGACAAGAGATGATGAACGCATAGATGAATGTTAAAAAGAAAGAAAGTACGACAAAAATGGTTAGATAATCCATCGGTTTGTGTGGTTTTCTATTGAGTACCCCTTTATATAAGAAATCTCCTTTATTTTTCCAAATATAAATAAAAACAATATTAATTTACAATAAAAAAAATATTTCACAAATATAAATAAATCAAATATGTCCTTAAAACATAAATTTAAAAGTTATATAACAATATTATACCAAACAATAACTAAATTTCAAAATTTTATTTTTTTTATTTCCTAATTTTGGTTTTTACTGGCAAAGTTGTTTGGAGGCCCTCCTCCGAGCTATATAGATGCTTAATGTTTTGTAACATCGATTATGGGCAGACCCCAGGAACTTATGTAAGGGGTAGCACCAAAAACATCTCAATAAAATATAATAATATAAAAAACATTGAATATTAAGATTTCATTTGATAAAATATTTACTCGATGATATCTTTTAGTCCAAATATTAAAGTCTCCCGTCACAAATAAATCTTTCTCCCTTGTTGACCCATATGTCTCAAAAAAAGCAACAACATAAAGAATAAGTTTTCTTTTATTTTATGCTATACTGGAACAACTAAATTTATCAAACACAATTAAACATTTGGTTTGGATGATATGTAATTCTTAGTCTATCCGAAGGAAAATTATTAATATTAAAACTTATTGAAGTAGGTTGTTGTTGATGTTTTTTTCCTACACCACTTTCATTATTATTACCAATATCCAATATTTATTTAAAAGATTTCCAGTAAAACCCTACATACATAATTAAAGATTTATAATTTACAATTGAAGATCTAAACTTAATTTCACCAACAACATAACAAACGAACAACTAATTGGTTAATTCGGTTTTCAATTTGAACAACTAACTAAATGAAACTAAAGGATAAAACACTAAAGTTGAAAAAGTAAATATTACTTGTTTCTATTCTAGCTAGTAGGATGATGATTTTCGTGAGTGAGTTTGCCAAAACAAAGTTGTCTTCAAGGAGGGGAAGAGGCACGCTGACGAACTCTGAAAAAAAAAAAGAAAAAGATGCTATTTTTTTTCCTTAGCAAGTTATTTGTTCAATTGTTTGTGGTGACAAAACAAAGGCCGTCCAACCCCTCTTCATTTACATTAGTTGGGCTATTCACATTACTTGGGCTAAGGTATTTACCAATTATATATGGGCTCATTAAGGTAAGCTGCATCATCACATTTATTTATATGCACGTTATCTAAAAAGACGGTACTTCTATTAAATAGTTCACGGGTAGCACGTGTTACCCCTGCCAACCAGGTAAGTCCGCCACTGACAACAATTTCATATCTTTGGCCATTTGCTTTTCGTTCACGTGCTAACTTTTTCTATTTCAAAATCAATATGCACATTAAAATTGAAATTAGAAACATCAAACCACATAGCCATTTTTTTTGTTATCATCATGGTTTAGTTCGATACCGATACAAACATCTGCCGAAGTCTTTGACCGCCCTTTCAATTGTTTTGCAAATTGTTATATGATTCGTTAAATTTCGTGACTACTGTTGATGATTTTAATGTTACATGTTCATTTTTTGAGTTTTACATGTTTCAAAGGGGATTATATCTTAGTTTTAATATATGGTTGGAGGTGTGTAGTACACACTTGTATTTATCTAGATTGATTCCGGTGCAACCAAAAGAGTGGGGGTTAAGGGGGTCGCGCCCCCTTGCTGGGTTCCAAGGGGCAGCTCCCCTTGGCAGGTGTCCTATCCATATTCTCTATAATTTTGTATGTTTATCCAACCCTTAACTGCCTTATTAGAAGGACCTTAATAGTAATTGTTGAATTTTCGAGGGTTTCATTGTAAATTTGTGTGTTTATCTAACCCTTAAATGCCTTATCCAGATGCATTTGTTTTTGAATTCTGAAAGATATTATGATTTTCTTACGTTTTTGAAACATACGAAACAAACACACAACATGTTCTCGCTAGTTTTGATCATGTTTTATGTGCCTAGAATCTCGATCGTTCAATTTGAAGATTATCCCATATCAAATTTGTCGTAACCCAAACATAAAGGAGAAAGATTGATTCGACAAGTGAACCAACACGATCTTTGAAGAATCCGGTGATGATATTCTATTTTCTACCCTATGTCTCTAACAAGCGAATCAATATTTTCTGTTGGTTATCATGGCGGATTTTGTGAAGACATGACTTTGAAATTTAACAAACTGGACAAATTTGAAGGGAATGATTTCAGATGCTTGCAGAAAATAAAGATGCATTTTCTGTTGACAACATTAAAAGTGGTGTACGTGCTGTGTATTACGATGCCCTAAAGAAGTGGAAGATGAGATGATGGAACAAACTTGGAAGCGTGGTAAGTTGGAGAATAATGATTAAATCTGTAGAGGATACATTCTAAATGGTATGTCTGATTCTTGTTTGATATCTACCAAAATATTAAAAGTGCGAAGGCATTATGGAATTCTCTTGAATCAAAATACATTATTGAAGATGCTTCTAGTAAGAAGTTCTTAGTGAGTGATTTCAATAACTATAAGATGGGTGATTCAAGGCCCGTAATGGAACAATACAATGAACTCCTTTGTATATTGGGTTAATTCACTTTACACAATATAAATATGAATGAATCCATTGCTGTTTTGAGTGTGATTGATAAACTTCCCTCTCCGTGGATGGATTTCAAACATACTTAGAAACATTAAAAGGAGGAATTGTCTTTGGTTCAATTGGGTAGTCACTTACGTATAGAAGAACCTCTTCGGGTGCAAGAGAACGCCAAAAATAAGGTAAAGGTTGAATTTGGACAACCCTCTGTTCATATGGTGGAAGATAGGATAACAAATTCTAATTACAAAGGAAAAAGCAAGAAACACAAGTTTGATGGACATGACAAATCCAACAACAAAAAGTCCATTGAATTGGTGTATTGTAGATGTCATCGAGTGGGTCATAGGAAACGTGATTGTTGTGTGAAACTAACTAATGGTGCAGGTGGAAGTGGGAATGGAAATCGAAATGAAAACATGGGTCAAAAGACTAAAGTCTACCATAAGGAGGTCATATTTTGACTAACTTTGATAATTCAAATAAGAATTATATCACACATTATGTTTCTCACATTCCTAAATGTTGTTATGTAAAATATGATGATTGTGCATGGTGGCGAGTCAGGAGAAACAACTAGTGTTTGCATGGACCTACGGTGGTTCGAGAAATTGACATTGGTGGCTGATGGTTTCGTGTTACATATAGGAAGCGAGTCAAGTGCACTAATTTGTGTAGGTGAAGTTGTTACTTTGAAATTCACTTTCGAGAAATTTTGTTAAACTATGTTGTAAAACCTTTTGTCAGGTATTTTCATTTCCAGTCCTTTATGTTTTTAAACGTTTGCAAAAGAGGTCCTTACGTTGGGCATACAAAGCCGTGCACCGAGCGTAAGTCAACATATTGTGACGTGTCAACATTTAAGTACACTGGGAATACAAGTGTGTATGCCAAGCATACTCGTGTATTCCCTAAACCATAATATTTTGGGTTGTAACCCCTATTTAAGCATCATAATCCCTCTTGGACCTTCTTATGACCAACTTGCATATCCTCCAAACTCTAAAATCTAACCCTAGATTTTGTGATTGAGATTTGAAGCTTGAAAGTGATTCTTGAGTGTTTATGATAGAGAAGGAAGATCATTCAAGAGGTGGTGGTGCACCCTAGCTTCTAGATCTAGAATCTTCATCTCATTGTGCACCTCTTAAAGGTATAAGGTTCAAACCTTAGAGCTTATTTTGATAGATATTGTTTAGTCTATGATCTGAGCTTATTTTGTCTCAAAAACATCGACATTTATGTGTATGGAATACTCTAGAGCTTTCAAGCTCTCCTTTTAGACGTTTTAAGGTGTTTAGAGTCATAAATATGTTCTCTTGGCCCATTCCTTTCTCCCATGCAAGAGTTATGGAGTCTTTAGTGAAGTGAAATGTTAGGGTTTTGGGTTTAACTTTCTGTAGCCATGAAAAGGATTAAATTCATAGACTTTATGGATTAAGATGTCTCTTTATGGTTAGATCCGAAGTTTGAATAAGTGTATTAATGGTCAAGACCTTAAAAAAAATGTAATTTTGAAATATGTCGTGTACGTTGAGCGTACTTCTGGCTATGCTCAGTGTAACCAGTTGCAAACCCGTCTCCACCTGCCCAACGCTCTACACCCAACGTAGAGAAGTGTACGCCGTACGTACGGCCTCCATTTACTTTCATTGACTTTTGACCAAGTATGCCCTTTTGACAAGTTGTGAGGGTTTGGATATTGGGAGGGGAAAATGGTTTTTTGCCCAAACTATGTATTAGACTTGGCTTGGGATTAGTGAAGTATAAAAGTTACCTTAATTATTCATTACGGTTAATTAGTATAATTGATAGGCGGAGTCTAGTTATGGAAGTTCGGGTGTGAGTTTCTATCAGTTAGTTGTGCAAGGTGAGTCTTTTCACTTATTCGTACATGTGTGTTAGTATAGATTTATTTATGTGATGACCAACTGGGTCTATGTGCTATTACTTTGATATGTGTTACCTTATGTGTGCCAAGACTTTGAGTAGTATCCGGGGTTGCTGATAAACCACATGGTGTGTTGTTTGCCCACTGAGACTTCAGGTAGTCTCCAGGGTTGTTGATAACCCATAGCTATTATACATGTTGTGTTGTATGTGGTACGTTGGGGGAGTTCACTAACCTTCATGCTTATAGTTGTTTGACTAAATGTGTTTCAGGTACTTATGAGGATTACAGGAAAGCAAAGGATTGATTGTACACATTCGCCTACAGTTTTTGATGCCAAATATTTTTTTGACACTCTGATATTTTTGTTGATGATTTGTATTTGACACTGTGATTTTCTTTGGATGGTTACTATGAAAAATGTTTTTATCTAAATTTAAAAATGAAAATTTTGGTTTGAAATTTTAGATGTTACATATATGATATAATATTAGTTCATAATATGTGTAAAAATCTTGTTAGTGGTAGTTCTTTT